TGCGCTGGAGTCTGGAAAGCGACCTATCATGGCTGGAACTCAATGTGTCATCGGACCTTTCTAAAACATGCTAATTAAGCATTTGAAGCTCTTACGGGGTTTCTATACACACTAAATTCACTCTTTTTATAAATCAGATCCACCATGTTTAAATCAAATTCACCTTAAATCGTACATACGCGTAATTACTCTTTCTTCTCAGTTAAACGTTGATGGATCTGAGCAGTCCTGACATCCTCGCATGATTCTTCAATGATGAACCCTATCGAAGAGGACACCTAGGATTAAAAAGTTTAGTTAATAAACTTTTTTCATGTAGCCTACTTCTCAGGTTCATGCCTACTTTGTAGATAGACGCTTAACATCATTTGGTAGACACATTTTCAATCACTCGAAAAATTAAAAAGATTTTATTAGTAACTTTATTCGATCCAGACTCCCATCTCGTTTTCGAAAGGAGAATCACCACTTATTATTGTTAACCCCTTGCACTACGATTTCTTTCACAGCTATATTGATTAGCACTTCTTCGTACTTAATATTAGTATTCCCAAATAGAACGAAACAATGTTTGTTTCTTGTATGTCTCCATTTACAGTAAATTCTCTCTACGTTTTTATAATTATTGACATTCGGTGACTATAAAAACGAGCCAAAATGCTCGATTAACACATTAAAGGCGGGGGATCTTGACGAAAGTATGCTAGGTAACGCGGCGACCGCCCCGCCTCGTTTTTCATCCTGGAGCGGGCGATATTTTGTGTAATCATAAAAAATTTAGACTTAAAAAAGTTTATTTAAACTCTTAAAACTAAAAGAAATATTAAAAAAGAACTAAACACTAATTACAAAAAATGTTTTAAAGTACATATTTATGAGAAGTCGAGATAAATCGTAGTACTACGACTCCCGCCTTTAATGTGTTAATCGTACCTCCTCTTCCCAAATTGTCCATTTTTGTTCCCAAGCTGAGCGTCAATTAGGGAGAATTTAAATCTTCATCACGAATCTGATTCGTTATGTGCAGTGCAAAGGGTATAAGCCAGATCCGACATTGGTTTTCGCACTAATAATTATTTCACTGATTTAACCCGTAATTCGGGTGACGCTGATTTGACTACTTACAAAGGATTTCCGAAAATATTTCGACAAATATTCTACAGGAGGTAATGAAACTATTGAATTCTTATAAAAATGGTTTATTAAAAAAATTATTCGCAGTGTATAACATTAAAACATTCTCTGCAAAGTTGAGGTTGATCAGGACAGCTTGGACAAAAAGTTGTTTGTTTTTCCAGATATGCTCGTGCCTCTGATCGGTCCATTTCGTATCTTTTATTTGAACTGTAGCTTCCTCGGTATCATCAACATTTCTTTCTTCTTCCATGACCAATTCTCGTAAAATCTCGTCGATAGTATCTTCATAACATTCATTATCACTACGATTATATTTATCAGTATCCAAATCAGAATCTGACGATGTAATTTTATTTATGCTTCTCCTTCCGGGCAATCCGATCTCTTTTCATTATTGAAAAAAAATAAGGGCAGAGATTTTAAGTTATACCATTCGGTACTCGGCAAAGATTCCAACTGTTCATGCAGGAACAGAAACAGACATGAATTAATAGCGCACGCTTCCTATAGCGGCACGGGTGGCCTGTAGGAGATTTTGTTGTAAATACGCGTGGCAGTGAACGTGTTAAATCGTATTCGTGCATAATCCTACGCTTGCATGACAAGTAGAAGCACTTCTAATATCTCTCAACTGTTCCAATAAACAAATTACACAACGTTATAGCAAATTCTGAAATAAAACGGAGGAAACACTTTGGACCGTATCATTAGATAGTTAATTACTCAGCCGCGAAAATTCTCGTTGAATCGTCGCGCCTGTAGGGTGTTCCTCCTCTGCTAACAGAGATCGAAATGCTTTCGGTTAATCAAGCAAACCTGCGTTTCACTCGCGACCTCGAACAAAAGCGCGCGCGAGTTTCTTGTCTGGATCGCGCGCCACGTTTCCGTCCCTTGCCGCGATTATTCGCGGGCGATACTTTTTCCGTTCCTCGAGAATCCTTCGGCGCGATTCAGCCGCACGTGGGAATTCGTCGGGGCGTCGGGGACAATGCGGTTGCGTCGGAATACGGAATTTTGTAAAGCGGCGACAGTCGTTTTTTCGTGCCGCGTCGCTTCGACTCGCTGGCGAACAGTCCGGAGGGTGTTCCGTGTTCGCGCCTTGGCTGAATGAAATCACCGATCGGATCCTCCGAGGATAACCCATTGAATTCCATAATTACGAAATTGCTAATGGAGGAAACAACGAGGGAGACGTCTGCGACGACGCTGCGTCGAGCGAGTCCCGGATGAGGGATGTTTCTGCATTTTGATCAGTGCTGAGAGAATTTTTAAACGGAACCACCGAGCGTGCTGTATTGTCTGCCGCGATCGATTTGGTCTCGTCGATGATGTCGTCATCCTGAACCCTTTCATATCTGACAAGGGGCATTAGCCGTGTTAATTCGTCGTTAAACGCAGCAGTTTAGCGGACCCTACGGTAATTACTCGGGGCTGTGGCCATCTTGTTATTTTTTGGTGACCTTGAAATACGTCGTCAAGTTGCCGCACTGTGCGGCACTTATATGAGCATCCGAGACAAAAATCATCACTTCTAAGCTAACCAATTTTCGATCAGAATGCCTTAATAACTTGTCAAAGAAGATACAAGGATGCATCGATCTGCATAAAAAAATTAGATGATTTCATAAAAAAGAATTATACTTTACTTTTTATTGAATAATCAAATCTTATATTTCGATAAGTGAATGTGCCAAGCTGTTAACCAGTTATGATTACATATTTTGTTAAATAACTTTGAAGACCGTAACTTTTCGCTAAAATTGTTTTTATTATATCAATCTGTACTATCTGACGAATATGTTGGAATAAGAATCCCAGAATATTTTGAACCGTTTTTTTTCTTCTAAACCTTATTTAAAGCGTACGAAAATAAATCGGACTTAATTATTTCGTTTTAAATATTTTAAATTGCTATATATTAATTACAATCATATATATATAACTCCTGGCTGTCATTTTCTGTAAAGATTACAACGTAAAATAACCTTCTGTTCGTAAGATAATGTAAACAAGCCGTTGACCGGTTATGGTTACATATTTTGTTAAATAACTTTGAAGACCGTAACTTTTCGCTAAAATTGTTTTTATTGTATCAATCTGTACTATCTGACGAATATGCTGGAATAAGAATCCCAGGATATTTTGAACCGTTTCTTTTTCTAAACCTTATTTAAAGCGTACGAGAATAAATCGGACTTAATTATTTTGTTTTAAATATTTTAAATTGCTATATATTAATTACAATCATATATATATAACTCCTGGCCGTCATTTTCTATAAAGATTACAACGTAAAATGACCTTCTGTTCGTAAGGTAATGTAAACAAGCTGCGGTGTGAACTAACGTGTTATTTGATCCTCCTAAGATTCACTCGGCGAACTTACTTGAAATTAACGACCTGCTTAATTTTTTTAACATTCTGTTGCTAAATATGATTATTTAGATACTTCAACACATCATACACATAGATTTGAATAGATACGAAGCAGTGACTTTTTTGATTTTTGTCCATTAACGGCCGCACTGTGCGCCGTTGTGAACAACTTTTTCCTTTACTTATTACCGCCACCGTTTAGTTTAGTTCCCGAGACGTTTGAAGAATGTAATGTAATATAAAATAATATAAAAAAAATTCTCTAATGATGCGCGGCGTCGACTGGTTGACTGTTAGTCCATACTTAATAAGACTAGAAGTAGATAGGAACTACCCTATTTTCACAGATATACTACTCGCGACGGAAATTATTTGGAGGGTAGCAATGACAAATATTCTTACAGTGCAATAGATAGATGTTTTGTCCGTACGTTTGGTTAGTCGCCTAACGTACATGCGCGACCGAACTAATGTACGCTCGATTCGCGCTTCCTACGGCAAATTAATGACGTGGAAGGGTCTCTAGTAGTATTAGAGAACTTTATTTTTTAGGTTGTAGTCTCTCTGCGAGCGCTGGTGGAAGAATGCTCTTCCAACGCTGGAAATTCGTGGAAGAGCACCCGTGGATGGAGGTACATTGTTTGTTCTTGGTCAAGGCACGAATCACCCCTTGGAGGGGGGTGTCTGCCTTGACCCTTGTTGGGGCCTGAGAGGGTTTTTCCCCAATGGTGGGACCTTTTTATGGGTCTTTGTCTCTGGACGCAACAATAGATATGGGGAATAGATATTAGAGTAAGAAGATACTAAGGAAATAACAAGTATATACTCTTGTTCCACCAGATATAGTGTTCTCCATTCATTTTCAAAGCAAAAAATATCTAACGACATTCCTAACTTCGTAAATGCACAAAATTTGCAGTCTAATGCACAAAATAGTATATTTTTAGCATAGAAATATTGTTTAGGTGGCAGTAACATTTTTCTTGATGATTTTTAAGAAATTACCCTTCGATGCTGTAAGTTCTTATACCATTATCAACAAGTAGAAACGATTTATATGTTTATATAGCGGCAGCCTAATGAAAATTCTTTTGGGCTTCTTTATCGAGAGCGCGACTACGTAAGGCTTTGTTGAGGGTGAATTCAGGTCGCACGAACAGATCTTACTGAACGCGAGCACTCCAGTTTACACGATAGGTCGCTTCATCTTATTAGAGATATGAAACATTACCAAAGATTTGAAAGTAGTCTTATAATTATGATAATAAAATTTATTGAAAAAATTACTGACTTCATCGCAGCCGTTTATCGGGTAACTTATGAATATCGTCGCGATAGAAATAGTTTTTCGTCTTTTATTCGCATTTGCTTAATGTTTTTCAATTACGTGTTTTCAGTTTTTGAAGTTCGTGACGGATGATTTTCACATCATTACGTCTTTTGCGCTAGATTTATCGATTATCTGGAAATCTGTTCGTTTATTACAGCTGAAAGAAAAACTTCGTTGGGGAAGGACTGGCACGGTTCCTGTTTACGCTGCGAGAAGTGTAACAAAACCTTGACTCCAGGTAGCCATTCTGAACACGAAGGAAAACCTTACTGCAATCATCCGTGTTATTCCGCTCTGTTTGGACCAGGAGGTAAATAAGAAATAAATTTTAAAAACTGTGGAAAGATATTAACCCTTAGCGGACGACGACTTTTTCGGTCGAATCAGGTAGCAGGACAAGACGATTTTTGCAAATATGTCGAGTGTCTTATATGGTACAATAAAATGATCTTACATATAAATATTATCTTACAAAAACGTTATATTTCGTTAGTTTATCTATATTCACAGTTTTATGAATATAATTTTACAAAAATTATGATCTCTGGTTTCGTTTGGTGCGATAGTTTATAAAACATTGACCAAGATGCATTCTTGGTTTGTCTGGACATGTATCACAGAAACAGGTCGTCTCATGTCTTCCCCCTGGTTTGTTTCGACTGGAACAAACTTTGCAATCTTTCTTCGTGCCAGTAACAATTACATGCAGTTTTCCGTTTAGACGACTTTCGTCAGAGTTGGCCGTCCAACTTGAAGATCTATCTCGTGGTTGATGATAATCTCCTCTCAATTTGTTGATCAAAATTTTGCGAAAGTTCAAATGTGTAACTGGCTGTTCGTTTCTCTGTCTTTTTACATGTTTGTAGAGAATGTACGAATCGATTAAACAAATTTCCAGTCCACGGAAAAATAATTTGCGCCACCACTTCAGGGACTTTCTCATAAAACAGTACGTTGAACAATGTTGGAGATAATGAAATCTAACATAAAGAATCTCCGAAATCTCCCGTGGCGACCGGGAGTCTCATCTCGTCCGCTAAGGGTTAAAGATCTATTCGTACCTGGAACTTAGAAAAAGGACACGAATTCTTAATTTTTAAATTATGTTAGTAATTATTTTAGCGATGAAGCGAATGTTTTTCATTACTACAATATTCTTACGCATATAAAAGCTATTCATGAGATTAGAAATAATTCTGGCGTATTTATTTATTTCGATTAAAGCTATTAATACTACTGTGCAGCTAATGTTAAATCTAAAAATTGTATAGGTAGTAACACAATAATAACAAAAACCGTTTGTTCTCATTTCAGGATTCGGACGAGGAGGTGCAGAAAGCTATGTTTATAAAAAGTAAACAGCAAATAATATCAAATGACAAAATAAGTTATTGCTAAGTGGACCGCGTTACCTGTGCTATAGAATTTATTATTAAAGTAATTATAAACAGATCATCTAGGAACACATTTACGAAGAACAATCTCTTCGTAGACAATATGGAAAATATCCTATGACATGATGCACATATTCAATTTTTTATAAGATTAGATTTTATGTACAATGTTATTATATATTAACCATTGAATAAAAATTTGTAGCGACTTTAGCCTATTGATTACTTATTACTTGCCAATAAACAAGGAAACAGTATTTTCTTCAGACGGTCGCTTACTTTTAACAGAAACTGAAAGTACCGATCATAGCTCGACTGAATTATTGGTAATATCATAGGAGTGGATCTAGCAACCAATATCTTATCGTCTGCGTTAGAATCCTCCAAACCTGACACAGAAAAGCTCATAAGATACATAGTCTGCATTACCGACTCTGCAGAAAATGCTATACCGCAGACGAGGTACATCGTGACTGCCATACCGACGTAGAAATTCAAAACTGATTTCAGCGTCCTCTACTCACTTCATTAAATATTTGTCATTAAGTTAGGACTGAACACGTGTTTACACGTGTGTAAATGCGTAGTTATTATGGTACGCATCTGTGGTCCGCTGAGGCGAAGGGGAGCGAGATGCTGCGACGAGAGTGAGGAAGCTTAGCTCTCGTGGCATCGATGCTGCGTGCTGTCTTGTTCCGAGCCTTGGTGTACAATATAACAGTGTCTCTATCAGTATTGAACGATGTTATTACAAAATGAAAGATACATAAAAATAAATATTAAATTTAAAATGTTGTGCTCTGTTATTCGCCAAGGACTAAAAAAATGCTAGCACTGTAAAGCTTATGAATTTATTAACGTTGTAAATATACCCATCTCTCTCTCTCTCTCTCTCTCTCTCTCTCTCTCTCTCTCTCTCTCTCTGCAAGAAAATATGTCTGAAACTATTGCAATATATATATATATATATCACTAATTATATAATTAGTAGAAATGATTGTATCATAAAATGTTTCATAAATACTGTTTCCATCATTGAAATATTAGCGCCGTACACGCTTATTGCCTCCAAATAATATTCAGCAGTCATAGTAGAAATGAAATATCCAGGATATTCGTTTCTTGCTAACGTGCCTAATTTCGTGAACTATCGGTAACGTTGATCGCGACACGAAATGGTAAGGGGTCTCTAAAGTCCTTCAAATCTGAGACAGGAGAGCACATAGGATGCAATGTCTATACGGATCCTAAGTCTGTGAATGTATTTTCAAAAGCTTGCAATGGTGCAAATTTAGCCTCCTCAGATACTCACTTTTCTCTGTTGCAGTCAAATGTAGTTCGCTAGTTTACCGACCGATCTACGTAGGTAGAGTCTGCCATCGTACCACAGCATTTTCTACAGAGTCGGTAATTCAGACCGAAACACAAACGTGTCAGATCCCTGCAATTAATCCTCTCTGCTGTTGAAAAGCAATGAACGGACACGTCTGATCATAGCTTTTACTGGATCTATTTCTTGTAAATTCTACTGTACGCGAATCTGGCAAATTCTCAAATTCAATTTATTCGAAAACGAAGCGTCGGTCGATAATATTTTACGAGTTCTTTCTACTTACCTATGCAAATGAAAATCTTTTCTTATTCAATTAATTTTTTTCCTTATGTATATTTGTTTTCTTTACGTATTCGTGGTTTTATTATTAACAAGTTTAACTGAGTTGTGCATTTATTAAACAATATATTTACTGGTATAATATCATATTTAATTCTGCTTTTATAAAATACTTATTATGAATGATCGTACATCAGTTACAATGTCAAATACATCAATTTCGGTATTTCATATATTTAGATAGTGACGTTTTATTTAATAACTAGTGTAAAGGCATTCAGAATATCTGTAAAAATGAGACTTCTCACTTGACCCAGGATAAATAATCGACAGCAGCGAGTTTCATATAAACCTCATATTTATTTAAAAAGGATGTACAGAGTTTTGTTTGCAAGTATCAACAGCGAGACTCGGCAAGAGCGGCGCACGGAACAAGAATATCACACGTGTATGAAGTGAAAGAGAAATAATAGGCAGAAACATGTTTGTTATTTCGATTAGAAACTTCGCGGGGCGCAGCATCCAAGCCGAAATCTCAATTTCATGTGTTTTTGCACCCGTTTGCAGGCTGTGTGCGCATGAGTTTCTGTATGTATCTATGTGTGTGCGCGTGTGTGTGGAGAGGGGGGGGGGATTCTAAAGGGAAGGCGAGTGTGGGAGTGATAAATATTCCCTTCGTTTGAATGCTGCGCGAAAAGTGTTTCAGTTCCATTTGTAGCGATGCATCGATTTCCATTTACGAACGAATTGACATTGCATCGTCGTGCTGTTCCTCATTACGCTTTGTTAAAAAAAAAAAAAAGAAAAGAAAAAAATACCGCCTCCATCCTATGGAGGCTTGGAAACGTTTTACTGCGATATTGCTCTCTCAATGGATTTCTTTGGCAAAACTTATTACACATAGGTCGTCGTTACAATTAATAAATAATAAAGGCAATTAAATAATAATATAATAATAATAATGATGATAATAATAATAATAATAATAATAATAATAATAATAATATAATAATTAGAATAATAATCGTGTGATAATAATGAAAATAGCGATAATAGCAAATAGAATAATAATAATCATCGTTATGATAATAGGTAATAGAATAACAAAAAGTGAAGTACGCATTAGTCAAAATTACAATCCCGACAATCGTAAATCGCATTGAGAACGTCAGATCTTGTTCTGATTCTGTGGGTAACACCTTACGAACGAGGAGCGACGAAATTACTGTTTTTTCTCGTTGCAAGAAAATGTGCTGCGATTAACGATATATCGGATCTCGAGGGCTCGAAGATCTAACAGGATCGCAATTTTCCATCCATTCTCTATCACGCTCGTTCTCTCCTCCACTCTTCGCTGTACGTGCCATCGTCTTCCCGCTTACGTTTCTTCGCGATACACAACGCTCAAATACGACAACGTGTTTCGATTAGCAATTAATCGGTAGCAAGTGATCGCGGCTATCGATCTTTCGTCCTCGCGACAGAAGCGTAATGAACACCTGAAGATCGCAACTGTGAGAATAAAGAGCGAAATTATTATCCATGATCGTTGTGATGATTCCGAGAAATCGGCCGCGAGACAATGATTTCGCGTTGATTCGACGCGCGGATCGAAGAACGATCTGCGAAGTCGTTGCGAGGACGCTTCGGATCGACGCTGTTCGATGGTTGTTCCTTTCGAAATGAAGCGAACGGCGGAGTTGAAAGGATGAAGATTTCACAGCGAATGATCAGCGAATGTTCGAATAAATAATACGCGAATAAAAATAGATTAAAAACCATGATTAGGATAAGTATAACAACAGGGAATGTCGAGTGGCCTGTTATCGTTCACGCGCGGTGCGTTCGAATATAATTCGCTAATTATGAGATAACTGTGATGCGAGCTCGGAAACCCATTTTATGGTGAATTTCTCAAGCGAAACACGATCGACTGATAATCTCCTCGACGCAGGACAACGGTTACATCTAGTTGATTGCGCTGATTATGAAGATCGTTAATTAAAATCGCCGTCGTTCGACAAACTCATTGCACTACTTGCGTTAAGAACTTAAAAATCGGCCGAACCCGCTGACAAGCGAAGAATAAATTAACCCGAGTGTTATGTAATAAATAAATACATGTTTAAAAAAAAAAGAAAAGAAAAACAATATTTTCAGATTGCAAAAAGAGCGTCGCTGTTGCGTCCCCGTACGCGCGTTCATCCGCGAGAATTCGAACGGTCCGGTCGCCTGCGCATAAATTTCCTCATTAAGGTTACAAATTAACATTTCTGCCCGTTAATCATCGAGAAATTGCGAGCACGTAACTTCTCATTAAAGCGAGCCGTTGCCGGACGTTAATTACGGTCTCGCGGCCAGTTCTTTTTTTGCCGTTTTCGAGCGTTCCGCATAACATTAAGCCGGAAGCAATGCGGCTTCCGGAGTGTTCGCGCCGAGGTGTCGGACGAAACGCGAGAAGCGGCGCGATTAAGTCGTTGCTTAATTCTCTCTTAGACGTCGAATCGGTAATCAAAATCTCGTCGCGTGCCCGACGAATGCTCACGGATGATTCGCGATCGAACGCACGCCGGTGTCGGCCGGTGGAAGCCATCTTTTTACGTCCTCCTCGCGCCATTAATCTCTGCGCGAACCGATGGGCTCGGAAGTTATCCCGTTTCACCTTTCACGCTTTTCCGATTGCAAATTCAGATTCGCTGATTGTTCTCGACTCGTCGATCCAGCGCGTCGCTCGCGGAGCGTTTATATTTGGTTTTGAATACACAGGAGCATTTTGCGCGCCGCGCGTCGCGCGTTGCGTTTCCCGGATTACGTGCGCGTGAACTGATCCATAGATTCGCGTGTCGTTTTTAACCCCTTGACATACCGTCTTCTTCGCAGTTACTGTAATTAGAAATTTTTCGATTGCAATCATTTCTTAGAAGGGACAGAAAATTGATGCTTATCGTGTGCCTAAATTTACTCGGATGCTCAAATATTGATGACAAGAGATCAGAATTTTATTCCAATTTCAAAGGACAGAGTAACACTTCTATACTCGATTAATTATTATCAGAAATTTTCATGACGAGTCGGACTCGCCAAAATACGGCAAGGGGTTAAGGTACGTAATGCTTATGTCAAGGTTATTTTAATTACGCGAGCGGAACGTGTGGTCAACACACGCAACGTGTAATCAGTAGCAGGTCATTAACGGAAATTTCGGTCGCATCTTTTGTTCCCTTCAATTTGCAGAACGATCGAACGCGCGGTCAATGAGACGATTCGACTGTCGCGTACCGGGATGCTCGTCGGGAGAAATGTCATGGGATCGAAAGGAAAGCACGTAGAACGTTTCGCACACGGCGTTTAAAATGCTGCACTGTATATCTCCGACCTGTACATTTGTAAACTTGTCGCTCGAAACCGCCGTTAAAAACTGTGCATCCGTCTAAGCTACGCAACGCACGCAACCATCATATCGGCAATCAGTGTCTGTGGTCTTTGGTTTCTACAAAAAATATATATAATATCCTTAACAGTTAATGATCGTTCCGTCGATTCTTGATTTAAAAATCTCAATAAACTTACCGATTAGGTCTACCATATACTCTATGTCGTTTTTGGAGGGGATTCGGGGTTTTAGGGGTTGGTAGGGTCGTGCTTATTTAGGAGAAAGAACGTGCCATCGTCTTCGGCAGTTGACTCTGTCTGTGTTTACGCGAGTATATGTATTATTATTTATATATATATATATATATATATATATGTTTTTTTCAATTTTATATATATATATGTACACATTCTAAATACCGTCGACGACAAATGTGCCCAGCTGCATCTGCTTGCCACAATCACCGGTGTTCCGTCTATCAAGGTAAAACCGTCCGAATGCACGGGCATATTTGGAGGGGTGACCGACTCTTAGAATTATTCTAACTGAAGATCGTTAAATTAATCTACCTACGGTTACACGCACTCTACAGAGTACCGACACTGTTGGCGTAGGCCGCGGGGGAAGACGGCGGTCTCGTCCGCGCGGCTCGACACCCTTGTCCTCCTTCGAGCTGACTGGGGGGGCCAGACACTTGTCGATTTGTTGCCGTTCGTCTTCGAATTCTCTCCGTTAGTCATCGACGTTGAGACGGTGTTGTGCGAGTCTCGTGAATCAGACGCCACAGGCAGTAATCAGACGATTACTGATTTACTCTCGACAATGTGTGCACGTCCTCGATGCTCTTGTTCCAATAATCTTCTATACACGATCGTTATCATCGTTATCATCGCCATCCTCATTCTCGTAATCATTGTCCTCGACTTTGTCGTCGTCGCCCACCGAGTGTTATTTACTTAGCTGCGTACCACAATCGTTGAATCGTCTAATACCCATTGTCAAGTGAAGCGTCTAAGTCTCTATCTCTCTCGGGATTGTCATGTTCGACAAAATTGAATGTATCGATCCGGCGATCGTGCGTAGTCCGCCGAGAATCGATCGTGTAAAGAGTGTCACACCGGTACGTGTCTGGCCATCGGCCGACTCAACTCAGTCCCCATGGTTTCCATTCGAGTCTACAGCGGTTCGTTTCACCGAGCCCGCTGTCCCGATCGTATTTCCCCGATATCGATGGGCGGTTAGAATCCGTTCCCGAGCCGTTCAAAATAAAGAGATCATTGCTTGTCGTCAGCGTGGTTCCTCGCAATATGGCGTCCATCGTCGCTGCTTGCTGTTTCCACTCCTGGAAAACATTCTGCCCGGAGCTGGTCTCCATCGATCAATCAGGCCAGATAGAGATCCGTCGGCGTGGAAGTGTGATCCGGTTTGGTGCATGCACTTCCGGTCGGCGAAGCTGCGCTCGCGCCGCTGCTCGCCCTGGTTGCTGCCAAAGGCGAGCGACTAGCCACGTCCGTGCTGTTGTCAGGCCCACCGTTGTTACATCCGCCGCCCTGCTGCGGATTGTTGTGGGAAGACGCCAGCGTGTCCCCGTTACAGTAATAGTACGTGGAGTCTGCAATAACACGGTGCGACACTCTTAATCTCCTGTTACAGCACCGCATGCCGGTTCGCGTTTTTAACTAGAAGTGTTCTAACATTGTCTCTAATCGACTCGGAGCATTAACACGTTCCGTGCCGAGCTTTTTTTACTCGAATCTTCACACTTTCATATTTTACTAAAACTTGATGTATTACGTGCAATTATTAATTCTCGTACACGTAACAACGTAACAAAAACTTATCAACGCCCATTCTTGCGGTGGAAATTGATTCTTCGGTTCTAAATTTGAACAATTTGAACAATTTGAAGAACAATTTGTTCAGTTCACTAAGTAAACATGCAAGCGTGTACCATCGATGGTACACGTGGCACGGAACGTGTTAAACGCGGATAATATCCTTCGCGGGGTTCGTTTTGTCCCGGTATGGGTTGAAACGGTTTCGAAAAAAGAACAGTTTTAAACGCTTATATGTATACTGTGCGTTCGGCTGTGTTCGCCGAACTGTGGTGGTTCGACAGTCGGTGGAGAGGGATTCTGCATTGGAATATTAACCCTTAGCGGACGACGACTTTTTCGGTCGAGTCAGGTGGCAGGACGAGGCGATTTTTGCAAATATGTCGAGTGTCTTATATGATACAATAAAGTGATCTTACATATAAATTATCTTACAAAAACGTTATGTTTCGTTAGTTTATCTATATTCGCACTTTTATGAATATAATTTTACAAAAATTACGATTTGTAGTTTCGTTCGGTGTGATAGTTTATAAAACATTGACCAAGATGCATTCTTGGTTTGTCTGGACATGTATCACAGAAACAGGTCGTCTCATGTCTTCCCCCTGGTTTGTTTCGACCGGAACAAACTTTGCAATCTTTCTTTGTGCCAGTAACAATTACATGCGGTTTCCCGTTTAGACGAATTTCGTCAGAGTTGGACGTCGAACTTGAAGATCTATCACGTGGATGACGAAAATCTCCTCTCAATTTGTTGATCAAAATTTCGCGAAAGTTCAAATGTGTAACTGGCTGTTCGTTTCTCTGCCTTTTTACATGTTTATAGAGAATGTACGAATCGATTAACACGTTCCGTGCCACGTGTACCATCGATGGTACACGCTTGCATGTTTACTTAGTGAACTGAACAAATTGTTTACAAGAAATTTAGAACCGGAGAATCAATTTCCACCGCAAGAATGGGCGTTGATAAGTTTTTGTTACGTTGTTATGTGTACGAGAATTAATAATTGCACGTAATACATCAAGTTTTAGTAAAATATCAAAGTGTGAAGATTCGAGTAAAAAAAGCTCGGCACGGAACGTGTTAAACAAATTTCCAGTCCCCGGAAAAATAATTCGCGCCACCACTTCAGGGGCTTTCGCATAAAACAGTAGGTTGGATAATGTTGGAGATAACGAAATCTAACATAAACACCGATTGTCGCCTCTCACTCGCCATTCGTCCTGCCGCGTTAAACGCCGTGGCGACCGAGAGTCGCCTCTCGTCCGCTAAGGGTTTAGTTGAAAATATCAAATAAAACTTCTTCATCCGAGGCTTTTTGTATACGAGAAGCAGGAGTTTGAAGTTCGGCCCGGTTCACGTGGGCTGGCATTTATTTTAGAAGTAGAATCGGTAGGTTATAGACAGACGCGCCAATGGATAGGACGCGTGCTAGCCTTTTCGAACTCATCTTTTTTTCGAGACAGAGAAGGCTAAATGAACAAATTGTGGTCTATATCTCCGACTTATTTATTCTATGTAGAATTTCGGTTTGTACTGCTGGTTCGAAAATATCCTGCATAAGGGTCCCGTTTAAAACAGTTACGAAGAACCTTTACTTTGAATAACTCTCAAGAAGAACCGAAATTCCCAACTCTAGTATCTGTTTTGGTTACAGTGTGCATTTTAGTTTTCATGTCGACTCTATAATCGTTATTTTTCAGTTCTATGTCCGTTGCGAAGTGATTCTACAAAATAGTTGTACAAAAAAGGTTATATGTCAAGGTTATGCCTGTATTCAAATAATTCTAATCTCGTGCTGCTCGTTTAGATTGTACAAAAAAATTACATGAAAATATTTGACGAATTTTAATACATTTAGCTTTTTAATTTAGACATTTAACACTTTATCGTCCGGTCGTGGTTGAGGCTGCCACTCAGTAAGGACTGGCTTAGTCGCGCGCGCATTTGCTCCCAGTACCGGCTAAATTTTCGCTATTCATTGTGTTGTGCTTATTCCTTTAAAAATAATAATGAATAATAATATAATTATTATAATTATAATTCATAAGGATATGGGGAGGTCAGCATACAGGAGGTCAGCTACTAACAAAACAGTAAAGAAGCGAAAACCGTCGATAGCTAAAAGTCGATTAATAGGCTATCGGTCGATAAGCATTGGCAATCGAAAAGCCGATTAATAGGCTAGCGGTCGATAAAGTGTTAAGTTTATTAAAGTAACTTTACAGCGTACTCGAATATGCTGCTTCATCTACATGAACGATTTTTTTTAGAAATTAATAAGTTGAACAAAGGTTTCTTGTTTTTCTCCTGCAGCGACATCGTAAAAAATGTGAACAAATTGGACAGTTTGGTTCTTTGTAATGGTTATTTGCAGTCAAGGTTCAAAATAGATGTTACAACTGTTTTCAAGTTCAGATGTACGACAGAACACGCCAGCAACCAATGGGACCATTTATATATTGAGTTCGGAAAAGTGCGAAAAGATTACACATGTTCTGTTTCTAAGGATTCATTGCTATGCGTAATGGCTATCATTTCTTCTTTTTAATTAGATCAGATTTTTATGGTTTTTGTACTGTTCCTCTTGCATGTTTTCTTACCCTATCAGCAGACTTTGATGCAACTCTTAAATTTGCATACTGTTTGCACACGATTGTCAGTCTTGAAGGACGATCTGCACTCTTTTCCGTTCCATACCCTCCAACATTTCTGAAGGAATTGTAAATAACTTTACCTACATTGCGAAGTGTTGCTATTGCACAATCGCTCAATCTTTTGCACAGAATCGTGAATACGTATGGTAAATAAATATTTACTCGTGTGAACGGTCCGTCGACTCGGCCCTAACTTGAAACGGAAAAGTTTGAAGATGTTCCGCTATTTTGACGCAGCAGTAAGCAAACATGTCTCTACACTTTCAGCTTTACTTTACGAAAAAGAAGCATTTATCTCCGGTTCCAATTGATTACCGACACGAAAATAATATAATACAGTAGCGCTGTCTTTGTTCAACTACATTTGCAAAAGTCAGCAAACTAACAATGTGCAATCTTTTCGTCACAGAGCATGATCCTGCTAGAAAAAAATGCCAATAATACAGACCGCATCTTTCCCTCGTTCCGCGCTTGGTTGCGATTTGCAGTTCTGTCTTTAATTACTACTTTCAACGTTTACTAACTATTTTTGAAACTATTTTGGAGTGGACGCGGCAACGTATTCGCGGAGTTGCGAAATCCCGCAGTAGAAAGGGGAAAAGTTGAACTCGCGCGGCTGCGAAACTTCGGTTCCACCGGTGTCGAGTGCAACGAGCGCCGTTACGTCACGCACTAGGAACGAGCAGGTAACGTATCGCGTGTCCGATAAAAAAATGGTTTATTATTCCGTTCATTCTTATGCGTCGAATACATTTCACCCGGAGGTATCGCGATCTATGGGAGTACCCGCAATCCTCCGTTATGAAAGACGAGATACATATTGTGGGACCGCATGTAAACCGGCCTGTCCGCGCGATTCCGCGATTTTTTTTTACAGCATCGATCTTATCCTGCTCGTCTCGAAACCTAATGAAATACCGGCGGGTTTCTTCAGTTTTAGAAAGTTCAGTTCGATTTTATCGGCGGTCTTGGTTATCTGACCAGCGCCGCGGCCGTGATCATTCCGAGAATATAATCGGCGCGGGCAGGTTTCGCGGGTTAGACCCGATCCGCGGCGTATCAATGAGTTAACACTTGACATTTCGCTTGACCCTAATCTAATCGGCACTCATACTCACTGTTTACTTACTGAGCAACCCGCTTGTCGCTGCTCCATAACCGTAGCCACTGTATGGCGCGCTCGAATATTGAGAGTATGCTGCGCTGTACGCGTAGTCACCACCACCTAAACAAATATCGACAATGGACACGTTAGAATAGGATATATGGGACTAGTCGCGAAATTAGAAAGTGTGGTTTGATTCTATCGTACTTCTCTACCATGATATTCATTCAATTATTGTCTACTTTTCAAATTGACTTGCAACGATGTGTTGATCCTTTCGTAGGGTGTCGAAGGTTATAATGTTTGCAGACGTTTTGTTTATGGACATTGAATGTAACTTATTTAGCTTGTACGTGGACTTCTGACTGTGCTATTATCGACAGTAAAATAAAATGATATCGTATTGTACGAAGAAGTGGTTTGTAATGTAGAGGTTTTCTACGAGAATAGCAACTTGTACAACTTCCTCAAATTGTGAAACATTTTCAAATACTTTGTACCTAGGATGTATCCCTAAAAACATAAGTTAACGCTTTACGAGTAAATGTTCATTCGCATTTTCTTCTTTACTTTGAGAACGGCTCGTGTAGGGCCCTCTATATTACAAACAATTTTCCTGAAACAACAAGGGACACTTCGCCACAAGTGTTCGTTAGACCTACCTAAGAATTTAGCTGTACTTCGATGGTGGCCATTTTTCCTTCCAAAGAGAAATAAACCCCTTTATCCGAATCGGTTTCCGTAGAAACGTAAATGCTTAATAATCACAAACGACCAAATTTTTATAGCAATTTGGACGTTTCGAAAACACTATTTACACGTGCATTTTGCACTAGCCAGAGGGAAGATATATATATTTATAAGATTTGTTTCAGAACTTTTCCCGTATCGTTCGGCTTTGAAACAATTTTCACACAGACTTATATAGGCCCAGAAATACGTTATAACTTTCATTTCAACTATTTGTTGATAAGTTTTGCCGTTGGCGATTTACAAACATTTACGTGGAAGAACCGGCTCAGATAAAAGACATCCAAATTCTTAGGTTGGTCCGACGAACGATGCGAATTTGTATAAAAATCGGCGTGTAACAGTCACCACCGGAGGTTCCCCGGTGACAGAAACTCGAGAGAAAAAAAGGGATTGTCCGGTCGGGGCAAGCAACAGCTTGCGTTTATCAATACACGGCTCTCGGCTAGCTGCGAAGCTGGTAAGTCAGTTGCCGTTGCGTAGGACTCTGACTTACCCTTTGCGTGAGAACACTGCTCTCGCAGAAGGTCACAAGCTACCGTTACCCCTGGCGAAGGGATGTCTTTGCTCGCAGATCAGAGATATACCGTATATCCCGAGCCTGCGGCAGTGTTTCCATATATTACTCACCGGTGGCGTAATGTCCGAAACTGGGAAGCATCGTGGAGTACGGCGGTATCGCAGATGCTACCTGGGGCTGCGAAACTGGCGGCTGCAAGACCGTCAGTCCGGGATCGCCTCCGGGGGTGTTTGGGGCCGCGGGGGTGGCGTTTGTCTCGTTCTGCAACGAAATCGGGGGACTTTGCTCGCCCCCACCGGCCCCCACCCCCACATACGACACTGCGACGGTACTGCTCTCAGCTATGGCCATGCACAACACAACACGACATTCGAGTCAAGCACTAGCTAACGATCAGCGCCTTACGTCTAAAGCTTAATTAAATTCTCGTCGGGATTAGGCGGGACGAGGACAGGAGAGACGACGATCCTATGGAATTTGTTTGTTGGTGAAACTCAACGACACGCGACGCGGACTTTTTCTTTGGAGAGTTGCTTCACCCGACCGTAATTACCTACATGCGATTCCTCGAACAAGGATAATGGGTGCAATTATACTGTACATTACGAATCTTGACTTTCTCGAACCGTTGCAAGAGGACACGAGGCTTTTCCTTTTGTTCGGGGATTAGTAACACTCTGCGGAACACTGTTCAGAGATGTACCAGTGGTAATTCGCCGCGTTGTATTTTGAAATTTTCATACTATCAGGGCAATGGATCAAGCTATGATATCGTTCGACGTTGACTTTTGTTGGACTCGCAGGGCCAGATCAGGAGTTTGTTGGTTCGTCAGTTTGTGTACTTACTCTAGAAGTATTTCATGGGATACGGACACGGATGGGAAGATACCAAACACTTTATTAGTCGGAGGCACGTTCGGATCAATGGTATACACCGATCAAAAATGATTTAACGAGTTTGGACACACGTTATATCCGAGGTATCGAGTCGCGTTGCTGGCAGCGCGCAGATGTGACCGGATGCTGCCGTAAGAAAACTAAAGAGGTGGCGAACTCACCGCTGGTGTGGTAAGGAGACATGTTAGCCCCGTCCAATGTTTGGCTCAATTTTAGTTCTTGCATCGTCAGTGGAGCGAGCGGCGTCAAAGTACCACCTGCTATTAAGGGATCCCCATTTTTCCGTTATTGCGATTCTGGTATCGTTGGCTGGCGGTCAAGGCGGAACGTTGACCAATTGATACTCGCGGGACTATATTATGTCGGGCTCTGTTTGTCTATTTTATTCGAACGAGTTTCTCCGGCCTGAAAACGCTCTATCGTCGAGTAGATCGCCAATAGAGGGAATACAGGTCGTCGTCGTTGCTGGGCCCTTTAGAGGCTGCCGCACGGGGCGAACAGTTTAGAGACTTCTCGCGAACTCGATCAAGAATCTCGGCATCGAAACGGCAAGCTCGTACGTATTAACGGGGAGCCAGCAAGCCGTGGAATCGACTTGGCCCGGGCCGCGCCGTCCTTCAAAAATTCTTCGATCTCGCCCGAAGATCCCCCGATTGAATTTCATGAGATGAAGCGGCCGTTACACGCCTCGCTTCGTCCATTCCGAGAAGCACCGAACGAAAAGAATTCGCGGAACGGCGCGGCGTGACCGAGTTGCTCGCAACACGTGCCCGCCGGAGAAAGTTTTCTACGTGTGTGTGTGTGTGCACGGTTGCGCGCGTGTGCTCATCGATGCCTATTTTCCGGTGTCTTTTCTCCACGTTCCGCCGTTGATCGTTCGCCATTAAACGACTCAAGGGTAGACGATAGAACGAACAGAGAAACAGAGAAAGAAAGGGATAGAGAGAGAGAGAGAGAGAGAGAGAGAGAGAGAGAGAGAAAGTGAAAGAGAGACAGAGAGGCAGAAAAAGAGAAAAAGAGAGAGAGGCAGAGAGACAGAGAGAAAAAGAGTGAGATAGCGAGAATAGACGGAAATCCTAGATATTGGTAGAGGAAAGAGAAAAAGGCTAGAGAGAGATTAAAGTGAAAAAAAAGAACAAGGTAACAAGAGGATACCCTAACCACCAGACTACGCAAGGATTGCGGGTATCGTAAGCGAAAGTGGTCCGAGTGAGCCGAAAGACGGGCTGTACAGTGGGGATAGACGGTGAGGTAAGAGACGTACGTCCCCGTAGCTGAAAAGTCCGAGAGACCGCCACCGAATGGTGTGTTCCGCCACCTCTTCTGGCGCCGTTGCCGCTGCTCAGCACAGCTCATGCATTATTAAAGCCATGTATTTAGCCGATATGGGTATGCAAAGCCAGACGTAAGCCGCAATAATAAGCGTACAGGGAAGAGGGTCGGGCGAGAGAAGAGGTGGAGAAAACGGCGGAAGAGAGACGGAATTAGAGAATGGCGAGAAAGGGGAGGATGGTCGAGAGGTAGGGAGACGATGGTGGTTTGGTAGGACGACGCGAAAGGAGCTTGGTACACGGGGCATTATATACAAGAGGCTGTGGTGTGCACACACTGTCCGGGGGTTCTGTGCGAAGGAGGGGTTGACAGAAAGGAGGGTGCCGGAGGGTTGAAAAGAGAGAGAGANAAAATTCTTCGATCTCGCCCGAAGATCCCCCGATTGAATTTCATGAGATGAAGCGGCCGTTACACGCCTCGCTTCGTCCATTCCGAGAAGCACCGAACGAAAAGAATTCGCGGAACGGCGCGGCGTGACCGAGTTGCTCGCAACACGTGCCCGCCGGAGAAAGTTTTCTACGTGTGTGTGTGTGTGCACGGTTGCGCGCGTGTGCTCATCGATGCCTATTTTCCGGTGTCTTTTCTCCACGTTCCGCCGTTGATCGTTCGCCATTAAACGACTCAAGGGTAGACGATAGAACGAACAGAGAAACAGAGAAAGAAAGGGATAGAGAGAGAGAGAGAGAGAGAGAGAGAGAGAGAGAGAGAAAGTGAAAGAGAGACAGAGAGGCAGAAAAAGAGAAAAAGAGAGAGAGGCAGAGAGACAGAGAGAAAAAGAGTGAGATAGCGAGAATAGACGGAAATCCTAGATATTGGTAGAGGAAAGAGAAAAAGGCTAGAGAGAGATTAAAGTGAAAAAAAAGAACAAGGTAACAAGAGGATACCCTAACCACCAGACTACGCAAGGATTGCGGGTATCGTAAGCGAAAGTGGTCCGAGTGAGCCGAAAGACGGGCTGTACAGTGGGGATAGACGGTGAGGTAAGAGACGTACGTCCCCGTAGCTGAAAAGTCCGAGAGACCGCCACCGAATGGTGTGTTCCGCCACCTCTTCTGGCGCCGTTGCCGCTGCTCAGCACAGCTCATGCATTATTAAAGCCATGTATTTAGCCGATATGGGTATGCAAAGCCAGACGTAAGCCGCAATAATAAGCGTACAGGGAAGAGGGTCGGGCGAGAGAAGAGGTGGAGAAAACGGCGGAAGAGAGACGGAATTAGAGAATGGCGAGAAAGGGGAGGATGGTCGAGAGGTAGGGAGACGATGGTGGTTTGGTAGGACGACGCGAAAGGAGCTTGGTACACGGGGCATTATATACAAGAGGCTGTGGTGTGCACACACTGTCCGGGGGTTCTGTGCGAAGGAGGGGTTGACAGAAAGGAGGGTGCCGGAGGGTTGAAAAGAGAGAGAGAGAGACCAGCCGCTCACCTATGGTGCCCCCTATGGGCGGGGTGTAGAGATGGGGCGTTTGCGCCTGCGTCATCGTGCTGATGGTGCCCAGGGAGTCGTAGAGCTCGGCGGAGGTGGCAATCGCGTTCCCGGGGAATCCTCCGTGTTCGTAGTAACCTCCACCACCGCCGCCACCTCCGCCACCACCTCCGCCGCCACCGCCTCCACCTCCGCCGCCGCCACCTCCACCGGTTCCAGCGCCGTTCGTACCGCCGGTTGCACCGCCGCCTCCGCCGCCGAGCTCGCTCAAGAGTTTGTGTTCGTCCTTGATGCTCCATTTACTCGACCACAGCTGTAACAGAAGGTGGATGCTTCAGGCAAAGTTCGAGTGCCCGGAGAACAGGCTACTTGTTCACCAGGAGCAGCTTCGATTGACTTAGATGTCGAGCTCCCTTGCTTTTCCAATTTTTCTTTGACTATCCCTTTTCAGAGTGCTCGAGAATTATGCAAGATCCTACCGTTGTGCCACTTAAATAGGTCTTGTCTCAAGGTGCACTCTAACATATCGTACCAACAGAAAGGGCATATCTTCGGCTCGAACGAATGGGATATATAGTACATACAAATGTCAAAATGCAATGCTGTGTAACAGTTTTATGGAGAAGAATAATTATCATCGTTCGTTATAGACAGCGCTTGCTTCGTATCTACAGAACGCGGCAGAATGAGTGGTCAGGTTCGAGGACCCTGGTATATGCAAATGGTTAGGTTCGAGGACCCTAATATATGCAAGTAGAACTGGTAGGTCATGAACAGACGCGCCAGACGATAGTATCGTTCTGACAGTATTGACTATTTTTCTTTGGAAATGGCATTTTGCTGTAATTAGTTTTGGAGATGAAATATGAAACGTACTGTCATCATGCAAAGATATAATAATCATGTAAAAATATTTATTCTCTAAATTCCATGATTTTCGGTATAAAATTGATCAACCTCTACAAAATGTGCTGAAATACTTTCGTTTCCGTAGTTTCTCAAGTATCATGAAATTAAATTATATTATAATGAATATATTTTATAAGTACGAAACAATGTAATCCTGGCGACAAATGTAATGCCAATTGGGAAAATGTTGGCGTACAATTGGTGCACAAGTTAACGTCGACATAGGACCAGGAAACGTTAACAGTATGTGCACAGATTTATGATCGTGAACGTTTGAACATCGAAACTATCGTCGACGCGATTAAATACTCACGTTTGAGTAAAGCTGGTCGCCATTGTAGGTGCTCCTTTGTCTTTTCAAGTCGTCCTCGGGGTGATCGTTCAGGTCTCGGTTGTCGTCTGCAATCACATGATTTATCACTGTGCGGTGCGGTCTTTGGTTACCGGCGAATAGGCGAATAGGCGAACGTGCGAACGCGCGGCCACTTATGCTTGGGGCCACATCGCCTAATCGAACCGAACACTCGGGTTCGCGAAATATCGCGTCAGAGAATAATCGTCGACACGGCGGCGGATGCAACGAAACCGAGCGCGGGTACCGGGAGCATCTCCCCGCGCGATCTCTGTGTGCTATCTACGCCGGTGGAGCATACGTGGTCGTCTATGGCCGCGCGTTACCCACGAATCAAGACACAAATTAAACGTGGCCGGATGAAGCTAAATTGAATCTGTCGGACGGGTTGAACGCCGGTCCGCGGCGTAGACGGTGTGCATGGCATTGATAGATAGAGAAACAATTTCGATTCCATTATATGTCTTTATTATCTCTCAGCCATCCCAGCGGTTTAATATAGACACAAGCACGTGGGGCGAGTGACGGTATGTCGGACCGGAGAGAGGGCGGGATGCTCACCGCTATACCCTTTTAGTGGCTGTCGCGGGGGTGGCTGGACGGGGAAGGACGAAACTGACCAACGTTTCCAACCGAGAGAAGGGTGGCACGGTCGGCGGCGGCGGCGGGGAGGGATCGGATGAGTTTTCGGGGTGGGGGTAGATGGCCCAACGTTCGGGTATCTCGAATAATTAAATGACCATCCGAGGGTAGATGGGTGGAGTACCTAGCATAGGGCTCGTTAAACCTCCCTGTCCAGTTGTGATTGTCCAGCCGGCCGACGGTCCCGACCATTCGACCGGCAGGGTTTGTTCCTGGACCGCTATAAACCCCCTGTACCACCCTCCTCCGAGCCCCCCGTTTCAAACACGGTACACCGGTACCCGTTGGCTTCCATGAACTTGCTTGAATTTTACGATTCGATCGGCCGAGTTAATCGTGCTCTCTGGTAGCTAACCTCGCCGGGTGCTGGTTTTCGTGTAACGCGGCCGGCGCCGATTTCATTAGAGTTTAGGACACGTTCGGGAGTTCGTTTAATAGGTAAGAATTGGAATTGCAGCCCGAGAGAGGTAGAGTCGATTAATTCCGGCGACCTTATATACCGAAATATTTTACGTCGTTTACCGTGCCCGATTTTATACCCTTTCGAAGAAATACGCCCCGCTGGATCGCGTACAGGCGGCGAACTGTAATTAAAACGCGACAAAAACGAATCGATTCGGTTGGAAATATGGGCGCTGCTCGGAGATGCTATTCGATTCGGAAAAATCGATTATGAGGGAGAGAACTGGCCGAGTGGACGATAAATTCGGCGCGCGTTGACCGCGTTATGCTGTCTAATGCAAATTCTTGTAGTTTCTGCGATATTACAGTCACTGGTCCTTGACAGATTTGACAGAGGTTGAATTATGGCGGAAGGAAGGTCAGCGTTTCTCCCCCTCCGAAAAGAGCAGTAAATCGAATAATTCGATTGATGCCCGAGAGGGCAAAAGCGTACGCGCGCCGGCAGCCGAGCATCCGCGTTATTCGAAAGCAATTGAGTCAATGTTAAGCAATACAATACACGGGTAATAATGGACTCTGGGGTGAATCTGGTCCCGGTGTGTGTCCCCTACCGTCCGCGAATATAGGGTGGGACACGCCGGCCTTTTGGATTCCGCATGGGGCAAAAGCGCGCAGATGTAACGCGACAACAAACAGCCCCGATAGATTGCAATGCTTCCCTCGAGAGGTTGTCCGTAAATTCGTAATAAGCCCTGGGGATTCTTCGATCCCGGCTCGTCTTAGATCCTTTCCAGTAAATCACAAGAATGCTCATTGATTTTCAAGACTTTGCGATGAAATTCATTTCGAGTACGTCTACCTGGTACGTATGTGTAACACTTGGCAAGCAAGTGGAACCTTTTCTTTAGAGTAAGATTTCTTTTTTAATTTACCGTTTAAGGTCTCATCAACTGTTTTACGTTATTAGAGACCACGTTGGAAGAGGCATGTAATTAAATAAAATTGTTAAGTCTGTGATTATATCAAATGGTGAAGTTCTGTATCTTTTAGAAAGGCTAACACTCTTTTACATGAATCTGCTGTTTATATTAGACACCTACATGTGTGATAATACCATTGCAATCTTTTTTATAGTACAGTCTCTTCCTGGTTTACATTCCTTCACAAATATGTTATCTCACGATGGCTTTTATAGATTTATTACTAAAATGAGTAGGCACAAAATATAAGGCAGTAGAGAACAATATAAATAAAACATTATAAGTAATACAAAACATTATTTTGTGAACTGACTGAAATTATTGAAGAAAGGAAACATTTTCTATCCGGTTTCTGTCCGGTGCAAATGTCGATGATAATTTATATTTTGCATATAGGCCCGCAGTCTTATTGTTGCAGAACAACAAAAGCAAAATTAAGTGATAGATAATGTTGACGAAAGCTACTTCTAAAGCGTTACTATAAACCACTGCTATGAACATGAATATAGAATATAGCAGATTTCTTATAAACAAATCGAATTGTTCAAGTTGCTCATTAATGAATAAATCTGTGTAAACGATGTAAATCATTTCATGAGAAGAACTATGCATATTATGTAGTCTATGACGATTATAATATAACAAAATATGTACACACACTAACACTAATTAATAATATTTTTATTATATTTATACCACAGGAATTCTTTTAGTACGAACGATGTTATAGTTATCATAAAATTAAACATGAAAGTAAGAATTTCCCGAAAGCTATATACAACATGTTGTGGATATTTACTGTCCTAATGCGATTTGCACGAGACAAGAAGCGTCGGAAGTTGCTTTCGGCCGACAACGCAAGAATGCCGCTTAGTGTCGCGATTAAGCTCGGGAAGAAAATAAACGTCGAGTTTTGTACCTGAAGAATTTAGCGCGGTCCAGGTTCCCATGAGTTCGGCAAAAAACGAAGCGCAGCGGGATCGCTCCCTGGATCGTTCGCGTGTCCTCGATCAAAGAGTCCTATGGACGCGTTTCGTGTCGGGAGGTGTATCGATTCGTACGTGGTGAGTGGAGCGGTGCCGATGGTACACGAGTAATTCGATATAATCGGATTATGAGAGCGGCGATATGCGGTCGCAAAAGTGGTCGCGTTCGCGGCGAGAGCATTCAGTGTTTTGCGGCCGCGGAGGGTACGCGTATTAGATTATAAACTTCACAGACCACAGAGGCTTCTATCCCGACCCAACGACACATTAGTCTCCCTGTCCTCCTGGGAGATTATCGATGTATCCGCGAGCACCTTTTAACCGGCTGGAATTTCAACGAGCGAGCCGACGACTCTGTCCTGCGGTGGACGTGTAGTATATTGTACCCGAACAAAAATTCACAGGGAAAAGAACACCCCGTGACGAATCGGGGAGAACCACACGGCGCATACACCCGATTGGTATTTCGTTCTTTTCCGAGGTAATACGCTTATACCACTGACCACTAATTCGAATCTTTCGCGCGCCGAGGAAAGTGGAATCGATTTGTTTGCGGTCGTTTTCGACTCTTTTGGAAATTGCGATTAAGGAAGATCGCGCACTATGGAACAAAATCGAACGAAGATAACTAAAATATATTTTCTATATACAATTGGACTGCGTGCAAAAATGATCGAAACCAGATCATTTGATCTGACACAGCTATAGACGTTTCTTATATACTACTGTGATCAAAAAGTAAGGTGAATTTGTTTATAAAATGTAAATTTTTTATTTATTCTTCCAAATCAATTTCATCTCCTTCAAAGTAATCCCCGTCCGATAAAACGCACTATTTCCGACGCTTTTTCCAGTCCTCGAAACAGTCGGAATAGTCTTTTTCCGGTATAGCCTTCAAGACCTTCTTCGATTCGGTTTTTATCTCCTCAATCGTGTCAAAACGGCGCATTGGCTTTTTGAGTTTGCTGAATAACCAGAAGTCGCACGGAGCCAAATCAGGCGAATACGGTGGTTGC